CCACCACCACATTGCAAAACCCACACTCCTTTAGCACTGATGATGCTTCCTAGTTGGGTAACGAAAAGTCTACAAGAAAACAACACAAGCTCAAGAAGCAAGAAGGACCCCTCACAGAAACAAGGTTTGCTGGAGTACTTTAAGGGTTTCTGGGTTAAGGTCTTTTTCTGACTCTTAATAAAAGGGGGTTGATAAATTGATTAAAGGTCTCTTTCTTCAATGCCTGGCTTGATTATGGATTCCCTCCCCCTCTCTCCTTGGAGACTTTTACAAGGTAGTGAACAAATCAATGTGCTGCTGCATCTGGTGGATCTTGCTGAACCATCCAGAAACAGAAATCTGGGTTAAAATTAAAACAGTTTATTTAGCACATTGTGAGAAAGCATCCCCAAATTTAGATGTCAGCTGAAGTCTGTTTACAAAAACACAGTCTCTGTGTGGGATGAGTGGGGGGGTCACCTTCCCCCATCCTCAGCTCCTCAAAGCTTTTCTTAAATTTAAATAATCTGTTTTCTAGGATCAGATAATAAATGGAATTACACCATAAGCAAATTGTCTGCTTCACGCAGTATGCTAAATCACCCCCCCCCCCCTTAAAAAAAGTCTCCTAAACTAAGGTTAAGGCTATGTACAATTAACGTGTTGTGGGAATGTATCCTTAACTGCCCTGCTTAATGCTATTGTGCAAAGTTAAGTTTGCAGGTGAGATGGTTGGCTTGGTCTTAATTTATTTAATGTGCTCATCCTAAAACTTTCAGGTCCCTGGATTGTGTAAAGTGGAAAATTCATAAGAACAGATTTGGCAGAATAGAGGCAACAAAATGGTCCATTTGAATCTTAAAAATAATAAGCTGGCAGGGAAGAACTGCAAGTCATATAGACATAACAGTACACTGCGGTGAATGGGATTTACACATGTTAAAATCTGTACACATTTGTGTTAAATAATCCAGTGAGGTTTATTTCCAGATAACACAATAACAGCATAAACCCTGTCAATGTCAGAAGGTAATAAGAAACTTGCTTAGGCATCACTTAAATGAATTTGAGATGCATTTTCTTTTTCATGCTTTTTATAGCAGGCTCTCTACTTTCTAAATCTGTTTTCACTTTCTAACTTCATCCTGTCTAGCCTGTGAGGTTTGGGAAATGGGAAGATACTTTTCAACCAAGCTGTTGCTGTGTTGTAAATTTTATTCATGGCTCTTAAAATATCTAGATTAGAAGTTTCTCTTGGAACAGACCTTTTATCGTACAGTATATTCCTTGCTGTTAATAGGTATATACAAATATATATATATTTTATATATATATATTTTCAGGTAACACTTTTGCTAGCATTGCATCATAACAAGAGAGTTGTGAAGTTGGCTACCACACTTTGACTGACCTTTTTGTTGTAGAAGGCTTAAATCTCTCATTCTTAATATATTTTTACATACGATTTTGGATTTGGGATAAACCTCTTAACGTTTTAAGCTCCATGAACAAGATTTAGTTAGAAGAATTCAAGAAATACTTGGACTTTAAGTAATGATGTCACTAATTGGATACAATTCTCCAGATCCTGCCTGAGATGGAACATTTCTCCCATATTCATCCACTTACAGAGTAGTCCTGGTTGGTGCTTCTGTAAACTTGGAGAAGGGGAAATCTGTTTTTGCAAATATAGTTGATATTATTAATTTTTTCATGTACTCTGTACTTTATTGTAATTGCTTGTTTAGACACGCGTATGTCAAAGTCATATCCTTAAGAGTTAGTAGCAAAAGTAGTAATTTCCTTAAGGAGTTTGGCCCTTTTTAACCCTTTATCCACTTGCATGTTTATAGTTAATACAGGCATGTTTATAGTTAATACAGGTAGTCCTCAACTTACAACAGTTTAGTGACCGCTTGAAGTTACAACGGCCTGAAAAAAA